AACGCTTCCACCATAATATCTGTCTTTGGTAAAATTGTCATTAATGCAAGCAGTACTATCATTTAGACACCGAGCTGTTAAAGACTAATCATATCCAGTGCATTCCAGTGGCTGAACATAAATCTACCCTGAGCAGACTGATGGTCCGTTTCCATAAATCATCACTAAATTTGAATTGTGCAGCTCAAGCTGACTAAATTCTAACTTACAATTCCCTTAGGAAGCCACTGTGTCTGTCTGTATTGGACTTTAAACACATTGTTAGCTCTTAAATGTCAGTGGCTTCAGTGCACCACTCAGAGACCTTTCCCTGCTTGGTGTCTTAAATTCCTCTGACACTCTTACATGAACTTCAGTGTACTGACACAAGAGAGAAATTATGATCAGTCACAGAGGATGTCACGTTTGCTAACAGGGATCTACTGTTACTGTAGCACACCTGTCATTTCCACTTTGATTTAGTCAGTTTTTTGCTGCTTTACCCAAGGCCTCTGAAAAATTCCTCTCCAAGATGTTCAACACATGTTCCCCAATCTGTGACCTATGAATTTATGACTCAATGTATATATGTATAAACCATATACTCCTCTCTTGGTTCTGAACAGATACATGCGGCTGCAACCACAGCTGTCAGTAGAAATAAATGTCACATTTTGAACTTGTGAAAACCTCTATCTATAGATTTCTTCATTTTGATATTGTCTAAAGGAGTGACAGATTATGGTCCAAAAGGGGCCTCGAGGTATCTGCACTTCCAAAGGTTATCATTGGTTACGACTGTCCAGTAGCTTGCTCGTATGGTACTGGACATCTAAAAACACATTCTAGGAATAATCTAAATTTCTGTACATTTTCTGACTGTCAAGATATTTTAACTCAGGAACTCACACTTGGTACACTTACCAACTTACCATCAGCTGCATTATTATGATGAGGTCGTATCATTATATGGAACTGTATCCTTTGTTGACAAACCAAAACTGGCAGTTTTGTCACTACTGACAGATCAGCCAAGTGATCAAAAGCCACTAAAAACAACCATCACACAACCACATTATCTCATTCTATCAGGGTGCTTCATCTGTTCCTGTCTCTCATTTCATTCCACACTTCAAGAAAGCCGCCAGAAAGCTAAAGTCCAGGGCAACAGGCTCAAACACTCAGCACAGAGACACTTTAGTGTGGCTGTCAGAGGCCGAGCAAGAAATCCTCAGTTAAAAGGTGTCACAAACACTACGACACTGCAAGCTTGGACAAACACAGTGACTGACCCACTGTTCAGTCACATATACTGTACATAGTGTAGTAAACCCACACTGATGGAAACATAGATATTATTTTAAAATAAAATATGGTCTGGCAGCCACTGTCTCTGACTTTTAGCTGTCGAGAGCTCCTCCACGGCTGGCTGTTTGAAATGACTATGCACGGTTCAAAAAACACTTATTATTATCTTCGCTGGGTGGCAGGCGGGTCTAATGTATGGTCCATGCTTTGACAACACAGGGCAGAGAAGCTGGAATAACAACAGAAGTTCTGTAGCCAACAGTGTCATGGACAAGGAAGTAAGGCTGAGACACAACACACCCTGTCCCATTTTCACATGCTTTATCAGACAATGTACAAAATCATAGTTACATCTTTAAAGCTGTCATATTTCCTTTAATATGACACAGACTTGACATGTGAACAGCAAATTACTGTGCGTTACTTCAGTTTTTCATCTGATCAAAAACAAATGGACTGGATCTGTCGTATAAAAAAAAACAGTTTAACTGCACATACTTTTGTTTTTCCTACAACAGATGAAGAACAGTTTGGAGTATAGACAGTCGTCCTCGAACAGGTTCTGCTACATCAGCGCCAGAAGCAAAAACTCCTTCATTTTCATTACACATACACTTTGAATATATACTAAATTTGACCCAAACCAAATCAGCACCACCTAAGCTGAATTTCTTCCTTTTCACAAGATGTATGCTGTGGCCAAAAGAAAACAATGGCCATAGACTAACTTCAAAACAGCACTGAGATCATTCAGTTTATTCTCTCAAATAGCCTCTGACTAGTGCCGGGCATTGTCCTGCAAAAGTACAGGGTGGAGAACACCATGCTTTACTACAGTAGCACTAGAAGGACAATGTTCCTCGTTTATCTATATACTGTATCTGTACAGCACAACTGACCTAAATAAAACCTGAAGTACATGAATTACTTCCCTTCCACAAGACAAACAGCTGTGACCTAAATGGCACAAAAGCCAGTGAACAGATTTAACCTGCAATCTTTGTAATCTTTACTAGTTTTGTAAAGAGTGGACTGTTCCCTACCATCGCTGCTGCCGCGGGCGACCAGCACGTCTGGTGACGGGGTTTGTTGTGAGCGTGAGCCGAGGGAGTCCAGGCTGTCAAAAGAGTCCTCACGACCGTGGTGTGGCGGAGAGAGAGAGTCGCTGCGCTCGGAGTCCCAGCAGTCGATGTAGCCACTGTCCCGGATGCCGCGTTTAGGGCTCTCGGCGTCCTCCGTCTCCTCAACAT